CACTGTAAATAATAAACACTGTTCTTTTGTACTTCCCCTGTGTCTGCTTCGTTCTGGGTCTCATACCATCTGGGTTCCCTGCGTAATCTTAACAATTTATCTAACAAAATCAAAACTTTTTTAAAAGTGTGATTCTACAAAGTAATTTACAAATTAGAATCTATCAAAAAATATGATTTAAACCATTTTAGAGCCATTCCTGTAATCCCAATATCATATTCAAGCCTCTGTAGTAAAATATTGTGATCAACAGTATCAGATGCAGCACTGAGGTCCAACAGGACCAGTATAGACACAAGTCCATTGTCTGAGGCCATGAGAAAATCATTATTAATTTTCACCAATGCTGTTTCCATGCTTTCCATGCTATGATGAGCTCTAAACCCTTAATTAAACTCCTCAAATGGATTGTTGCTAGTTTCAAAAAAATGTGCTTTTGAAATTCCTTGATGGCAATTTTGTATGGCAGGCACGTTTCCCTAACCCACCATGTGCTAAACATAGCATAAGCCATTTTTTACTGCCATTGAGTTTTATTGTTAAGCACTTTGGTAACAGCTGCTATTTTTAACTGTGCTTTATAAATAAATTTGACTTACCTTGATTATTTCTTTGCAGATGTTCATGCAACTGACCAGCAACTATTTTCTCAAGAATTTTTTAGATGAACGTTAGATTAGATATAAGTCTATAATTGGACAGAATTCTTGAATCAAAATCATGTTTCTTAAGTAAAGGTTTTATTAAAGCAACCTTAAAGTGCTGTGGTACATACACATTCATTAAAGACGAATTAACCAGATTCAAAATGTGGATATTAATGAGGGGAAGTACTTTTTAAACAGTCTGGTTGGGATAGGATGGGATCTAGCAGACATGTGGATGGTTTGGATAAAGCTATTGTTAAGACTCGAGGAACTCAGAGTGGTATGAGACCTGGAACGAGGCAGGCACAGGTGGGTACAAAAGTGACAGTGTTTATTATTTACAGTGGATAAACAGACAGTTGCTTCTCGGCAGCTCCAGGAAAAAGAGGGAGATGATCAGAGGAGGTCGGCAGGTGAACAGGCAATATTAATGTGGTGATGTATTCTCTCTTACAGATTTGAAGATGCCTTTGGGTCCAACTCCAAATCCTTGGAAGAGCTCCAGAGGGGGACAAGGATCCAACAGAGTGAGGAAGGCTGGCAACTGATGGTTGGCAAGGCACGAGGAGAACCAGGGCAGGACCAGGGGAACCAGGACCGAGGAGACAGGAACACTGGAGATAAGAAGAGACTGGTAAGTAGATTTACTTAATATAAACTTACAGGCCGGAGACAACAATACCATTAGATGGTCAATGCTCCAGCAGAGTAACACTGGATTGCAGCCTTATGTAGGAGGTGATCCTCATCAGGTTAATGGCCGACAGCAGTTGACAATTAGCGGCCATCCTGGACGAGGAGCTGCAGGCAGTGGTACTCTCTCACAATGGTTAATTTGAGCCGGATCCTGCCGGAACAAGATACGGGAACTCTCTCATTTTGACCTGTTCTGTTCTTGCAACTCTTTCCTCGGATTCATCAACTCCGCCCCTAAAAGTCCAAAGTCATTGTGCGTTTTTATTTTGATTATTTATTTAAAAAATACAATGAGAGGAGACGTTGCCCTTAGTCCCGCGGACCCAGTCTGTGGATGTTTCAGCCACAGCACGCGCGGTGCACCAGCTACATGCTCCTTTGAGGAGCAGGATAGGAGCCTTTTGGTGGGGGTGGGTGGGAGTGGGGGTGAGGATGGATCAGATAGTCAAATTTATGCACAGAGGTGCTGTGCGGAGTCCTTGTCTCCTCCTCCTCCTCTCCAAATATTGTCCCTCCTTAGTGGGGCCGTGCACTGAAAAACACCCCCTCTCCCCTCCTCTCAGACCCCCGAAACAGAAATGATCATTTATTCAACAGAATAAATAAACGGCCTGTAGACGGTTCCGTTACGCAGAGAAACGTCTCCAATCTCTACCCAGCGCGCACACACACCAGCAGGTGTCTAAACTCTTGCTACATTTCAGACATAATAAATTAAAAAATGCTTACTGTAAAAAAATAAAATAAAAACTACAAAGATATAAATGTTTGATGTGTTATTCACATTATACGTCACGTTTCAAAACAACGACACTAATTTGTCTAACAACAGCGATCAAAATGTCAAAGAGACAGTCCAATTTACTTTAATAAAAAATGGATGGATGGATGGATTGATTGATTGTCCTTAGTTGGACAGCACAGAATTGAAGCCTTCAGGTGCTTCAAACGGTGCCACGAGATGAGACTGGAGCACGAGCAACAAATTCAGAAGAGAAGAGTTCACCTCAGAACCGTGAAGTGAGGGGGGAGGAGGGGGGGTTAGGACACCTGACAGAATCAGAGCTGCTCTAATTCACATACAACCTGCTGTTTCTCTCCAAAATAGTAATTTTACTAATTGTTTCCAAATGTAGGTAAATGTTGATGTAGACCTATAACAGCCCGTTAAAATACAACAAAATGCAGGAAATTATAGCAGGCTATTCTCCGAGTTAAATATTTTTTTTTTCCATGTTAGTGGAACACCATCATCTTCCCAGCTTTATAGTTCCCTGTTTTAAGGTATGTAACTCAGAATTAAACCAAGGAGCCAGCTTCCTCTGGTTGATTACTTTCTTTTTCAGCGGAGCAATTTTATCGAGTGAAGTTTGCATTAAAGTTGTGAAATTATCAAAAAGATCATCTAAGTCACTGCACTCTGGTGCATTACACTGCAAGGCAGCAGAAAACAACAATGGAAGAAATTCTTTACATTTGGTTACAGTGTTCTGTGATAAACACCTTCTAGAATAAAAAGTATTCTCAGTGGCTGTGTAGTCAGTTAATGTAAATGCAAAAGTTATTAAAAATTGTCAGACAGAACAGGATTTTGAAGGTATATAATAAGTACTTAATCTCTGTGCCATAAATCAGAACCAGATCAAGAACGTGGTGATGAGAATGAATAGATGTGTGGACATTTTGGGTAAAACCAATAGATTCTTAATTTTTTTAAAGGCTATGCTTAAAGTATCCCTTTCAACATATACATGAATATTAAAATCCCCCATTACTATGACTTTATCATTACTAAAAAATAAGTCAGATAAAAAAAAATCTGAGAATTCAGATAAAAACTGAGAATAAGGACCTGGTAGATGATGAACAACTAGTAAAATTGTTTTTTTTTTCTGATTTCCATTTTGGATGAGAAAGACTGAGGAAAAACAACTCTAAAGAATTATAACTTATAATTGGTTTAGTATTAATCAATAATCCTGACTGAAAGATAGGAGCTACTTCTCCGCCTGACTTGTTGTTGTAAGATAATGAAAATTTTACTAATCAACAGGAGTGGATTCATTTATACTAACAAAATCCTCCTGTTGTAGCCAAGTTTCTGTCAGACAGAATAAATCAATGTGATGATCAGTTATCAGTTCATTAACTAACAGGGATTCAGAGGAAAGAGATCTGATGTTCAATAAACATCTACAAATGAGACTACATTCTGAGTTGATTGGTTCTCACTGTAGGCAAACTGATGTCTGTCCAGAACAGAAGGGATGACATCATTTACAGGTGCATCTCATAAAATTAGAATATTGTGAAAAAGTTCAAATTTTATTGTCAATCATTTCAGAAAGGGAAACTCATATATTATGTAGATTTATTACAAATAGTTCAAACCTTTATTTCTTGTAGTTTTGATTATCATGGCTAATGAAATAATAATAATAATAATAATAATAATAATAATAATAATAATAATAATAATAATAATAATAATAAT